GGCTTGTAGGTGGTGGGGTTACAGGACATGGACTGGTCCAGGAAGAAATCAGGTTCCTCATCAACCCTGAACTTATTGTGTCTCGCCTTTTTACTGAAGCTCTGGAATACAATGAATGCCTCATCATCACAGGTGCGTTTTTAATTTTTTTCTTGTTTCACTCACTCTTACACATTTATATTTTTACCATTCAAGCTTCAATTAGTATGACATCAATTACTGGTCTTTTCAAGTACTCTGGGAAAGGTTGCCATTTTTTTCCAGAGGTGGTCTTAGAAGAACTCCTACAATATATTTATGTCTTATGTTTTATACCTTCTGTATCCAGACTTCTGTTCAAAGGTTGACTCAGTGCATTGATTTATTCAGAGACACTTTGTTATTTCTTCCCCCAAGTAGAATGGCTGTATTTTTTGTTTGATCAGCTTGATTGTTTAATCTTCCTACTTATTTTTCAAGTCATGTAAGCTAACATCACAATTCACTCTTCATTGGTGGAAAAACTTATAAGAGAAAACAGCTATTCACAATCCTGGCGGTAATTATGCATCCACTGCCAAGTACAGCGTGGACATATTGAGCACACTGGTAATTCAAACACATTTGGTTTATCTCCATTATCTTTTGACAAGTTGACATGAAAGATGGAGATCTATTTTCTCATGGATTTTTTTTTTCAAATATTTTAAAGGTTGCATTCATTTACAAGTTATTCAGTTGATTTATCTTAGTATAATTCTAAAAATTTTGTTGAGGTTGCTTTTTAGGGAAGGCAAATATTTCAATGTGAAATAAGTACTTTATGGCATAAAAGAGATCACTGTAATGTGTGACCATCTCTTTGACTTGATTTTTTTTTTTATTTTAAACTTAGCTGTGTGTAAACTACAGCTCAAAGAAAAGATCAAACCTAATTCATTTTGTTAGTGTTTTTTTTTTGTACCTAAAAGATATTTTAAAAATAGACCAAGATGTATCTCCACCACTAGGCCTTATTTGTTCTTTATACATTGTGTGAAAAAAAAAAAAACAGAAAATAAGTATTAGTGTAAGTCATCACGTGCTTCCCACAACCACCACCCACCCTGGCGGTTCTCCTACACACAATGTAAAAATTGACTTGTATCTGTTCAGTCTGTATTGTGTGGCGCCATGTTGTCTACGCTGAAACTTTTATCTCTCTATAGTGACCTTCACTGGTAAGTCACTGTCCCCCACCCTGCTTCCCATTATGCCCCTCCCTTACTCCTTACTCCTCCTCCTCCTCCTCTCCACTTAACGTTATTACATTTAGACAGAAAGGAATTTATTGCCCAACTAAGGTCATCGCTCCACTAATGGAATGAGCTCATTGCACCATAGATTCATTAAAACCTTACAAATATTCCATTCACGTTTGCAGTGTTTCCTCTAAAATGCTTGTCTGCAATTCTAAAGTAAGTCTTTAAGTGCATTTAGAAGCTTGACATAACTTGAAAGATAAAAATGTGAATGTAGATGTGAGTTTCCTTTGGGAGTTTTTAGATAGGAAGGTAGCGACTCCTGATGTAATCTATTGATGGATGCTTGTATCGCAGGATGCTGTCATAGGCATTTACCAGACTAAATTGGTTTAAAGTGAAGGAGGAGGAGGTCAGTTCCTTTGATAGATGAAATGATATGACCAGTCTGTTCAGAAAAGCTAGATGGCGCTTTTGTTGTATAAAGTACTTAAGTGGCTGGATTTGCAAATGTTTTTAAAGTAAATGTACCTTTTGTTATTAACAGACTTTTAAACTAATTTAAAGCCTATTTGTAAAATTAAAAAATGTGGTTTAGGTACAGGTTAATTTTGTTCTGAAAAGTTAGAAAAACAAAAGCCTTTGCATTTGTGTTCTTTATAGATACAGTACGCTTTAAAAAATCTACCCATGCAAAATAAATGTAAACGTGTCAAACAAGCTTAACATTACCAGAATTTCAGATACTATAAACACAGGGGAAAAAGCATTTGTTCCTGTGATTCCCTATGAAAGCAGTGGAAGTTGACTTGATTCTAGATTGAGGTAGTGTCTCGCTTGATTGGAGACTATTGGAGACTCAAACTTGATTCAATTTTATGAGAAAATACGCTAATTTTCATTTACCGTATCCTTGAATTTGAGTATTTGCTATCAAGTAATCAGCAAGGTCTGTGGTTTTGTTTTGATTATTTTGTGTGTGCGTTTTTTTTTTTTGTATTTTTGAAAATTACAGCTTATTTTGGTGTGCCAAGCTTGTCGTACTGTATTTTATGCTGTGCACATAGTTTTATAACCCACCTCCTTTAAAATGGAACCCACCTCGACCCACTTTGTACCCATCTTGGCAGTGGCCCTTACATTTAGTCTACTGGAATACACTTTTAATGTAACGATGAGCAGATTTAGACCAGTTTTTATTTATCATGGTTTGTTTTTTTTAGACCTAGACATGATATCTGTCAAAGAAGAGCACCAAAAATACAGTTCCTGTGCTCCTGGAGATGCTTGTGACAAAATAAGACTGTTCAAGATGGGTTTGAGAAATCCTCATCGATGGACTTTTTAGAGAACATTTGTTGTAGGGTTGGGCAAAATTGTATTGTGTGCAATTAATTGTCAGAAAAACTGCCAACAATATTTGCCACTTTGCAATTAGTGTCATACAATGACGTATGTTTGTGTGCAACATACTCTCACTGTAAGAGGCACATGTGAGCCCATTGGTGGAAGCCAGCAAAGAACAACTAATGCTAGCTCTAACCCTTTGAACTTGTTTAATCACCTGAAACATCAGCATAAACCAGAGAACGAGGAAGCCAGAAAAGGTGGACCAATACCATGTCGACTACATGCAATTGCAATTGTCATCTATTAATCATCATAACAATTGTTATTGGTTAAATGCTACAATTAATTGTTATTTTATATAATTTTTTTGCCAATATTGACCAACCCTAATTTGTTGGATTGTTGTTTTGAACATGTTCAGTGTTTAAGCAACAAGTCTGAGTCTCTGCAAATAAACTGAGGAAATTGAGAACACCCTGAAATTTGCAAACCATTCTGGAGACAAGTGCTGTTTCCCATGTAGTTTACAAGAGTCACAGCCCACTGAGATACTACCTTCAGATAACCAGAAGAAAGAAACATTGCTGTACATGTTTTATGGGTGGTGAGGTGTCATTATTTTCTGTCTGTTATGAAGCACTTGCAGTATGTCAAGACACAGGTGTTATCACATCAACAGGGAAGTTGCATCAATTCCGTCTTGAAAGTTTTGTGCATCACAAGTGTTATCAGAGGATATTGTGTTTTTGAAAATGTTGGCCTTGAGTTGTCAGATAAAATGGCAGTAAATAAGATGGACTGTTTTAAAAGGCTCAACAAAGTATATATAACATTTTTAATTACCGAAAGCTACACTAGTGACTCAGAAAATAAATTTTGAGCTGGAAATGAGCACAGTAAATTTTCTTTGATTTATAACCCAAAAACCTGCAGAACTACTCTAGTTTGCCAAAATGTGCATCATTATTTCTGCAGTCTGTAACCTTGAGTCACTTTTGGCATTAAAAGGGACAAAAATTGTGTTCATTTTTCAGCTTTATTTCACAAAATCAGTACGAGTCAAAGTGTTATAGGAACCATATTTTCATGTATTTTTTTAAATAACTTCAAAAATAAAACTTAGCTTTAGTGTTGAAATAAACTTTTAAATGATGTAAATTTAATAGTAAATCTCTGTAGCATTACTTTAAAAAACTCGCTTTTAGTCTTTGGTGGTAAAGGTTTTGTATTTGAAACTCTTAAATTGTATTTAATAAAATAAACTATTCTGTTTAAAGTATGTTTATGATATTTGAGAAATATGTTACAGACATACCGGTAACTATGATTGGCTTATTCTGCACCAAACTTCACTTTTCTGCACTGTTCACATCAGTTCTTATTGTAGCTTGAAGCTTTTAATTTCAAACCCTAAAGCAGATTACTTATGAAATCAATGGGCTTTATTTATGTCAATCCAATTGAAGCCGATACCGTATACTCACATGGGGAGCACAGAAAGCACTAAATCTGATTTGGGAAATAAGGCGCTGAAACAGATTTAGACCTGCTGCGTGCTCCCGACTGCTGAGCACTGAATAACATAATTTTCTCTCTGGCTTTGTCTTTCTTTTCCCTGCAGGAACTGAACAGTTCAGCAAATATACTGGTTACGCTGAGAGTTACAAATGGAAGGACAGATACAAAGATGAGACGCCCAGGTATATTCTGTTTGTGTGTGAAATAGTTCATGTTTTTGAGTCCTACTCTGAGTCAAAGACAGTGACTTACACTTTGTAACAATGGGAGATTAGGAAGAATTAAATGCATTTTTTGTGTTTTTTTTTTTTTTTACTGATTTTTAGAGATGAGTGGCAGAGAAAATGTACAGAAATCGTGGCCATTGATGCTCTTAAATACAGACACTTTCTGGAACAGTTTCTTCCTGAAAAGATAACCAGAGAACTCAACAAGGTAAGTGGAAAATGTAGCTCTAATTCTGCTTTACATGAGAACAAATAATTAGAATCTCCCCTTAAGGATGTTGTTGACCAAACTCAAATATAAAATACAACAAAATGATTGTTTTGATTTTAACCACATTTAGCTTCAACTTTTTTCAAATTGCTTTTTTATACAATTGTGTGGCTATATTACTTAATCCTTATTTAATGTTGTATTTGCATTTTTAAAAGAATAATCCTGGCCTATTCACAAAAGCTTTATTTATTTTCCAAAATGTTTAGTCCTCCTGCTGCCCTTGGGTTAAAATCACTGAGGACTCCTGTTTTGACCCTTGGTTAATAGAGGACATGAAATGACATGAAACATTAAACCCCATGTTGCACCATTATGAGTTTATTTGTTATTTTTGAAAAAAAAAATGGGAAAAGTCTCTCTCGTGTTTCCCATCCCTCAGTCTTTTTGTGCATTTTATTCCAGGCGTACTGTGGATTCAGTCGAAATAATGCCAACACAAAGCACCTTTCTGCCATAGCCACAGGAAACTGGGGCTGTGGTGCTTTTGGTGGAGACACACGACTCAAAGGTACTAATGGCTGAAACATTTATCTGTGTGGAAAAAATGTTTGACAAGTAGTTCAACACGAGCTTGGCCAGTAAAACTTTTGTGGCCAACACTGCATCAACAACAACAAAAAAACCTTTAGAATTATCACGAAGCAGATACTGTAGATGTCTTTCATTTGTTGTGCTTGTCCAGTCATCGACAGTCCTGCTGATGGAGTCCTGCAGTTACGCTAGAATCTACTGTGAGGCACAGTCACACATTCTGGTCTGCCTCAGACGCCTTTTTCAGTCAATTAGGCGCTCTCCCACGATGCCACTCTCCCATTTCTTGTCATTGTCTATTGATCTTCTAACACACATTTATGTTTTCCATTAAAACAGAGATTGATTATGGAAAGAGACACTATAAATCTTCACTGATGTATGTATCTGTGGGCTTGCACAGCATTATTTTTCATACAGCAGAGGGTGTATGCTGTTTGCTTGAATGCACCTTGTTATCATTAGTGTAATTGACATGTGGGTTCCGTATTCTGTGTCAAAAATATTATGCAGTATTGGCAACAAAACTAGCTTATAAATCAGAGTTACCTTAGTTTGTTTATTTGTTGATTACATGGACATCTATTTTTTGTAATTTCCTCTACTGAATTCTACAAGAGGATTCACAATATTTGCTTCTGGGGCTGTAAATCTAGGAATAATTGCAGCTGATTAACTGTAATTTACATTAAATGGCTCACTTTTGATGTGTTGGCTACATAACACTAAGCTTGTTCTATTGCTGTAGATATTATAAACCTTTTGCAAATGATTTGTATTTCTTGTGTGCTCATCAGTCAAAAATCCATAACAATTCTGTTAAATATTTAAGCACCCTGACACCTCATTTACAAAGACTGAACGATTGAGTGCTGTTTTTGAGGCTTTTCTAAAGGTGATATGGTATTTATTTCTCTGAAACAAATTGCCCTTGTCTCTCATTGTTTTTCCACTTAAAACCATACCTCATTTGGTTGATTGACCAATTATTTTTATTTGACATGGGGTTTCTGTGATCTATTACATCTTTATTGTTAATTCTGAAACTAACAATATTAATACAACCCAACATCTCTTTCTTTCCAGCACTGATTCAGCTGATGGCCGCTGCAGAAGCTGGGAGAGACGTTGCATACTTCACTTTTGGAGATGCTAAGCTAATGAGAGAAGTTCATGAAGTTCACGGTTTCCTCACAGAAAGACAAGTCACCATTGGTGAGACACACAAAAGAAAATGTATTCAGTGTTTTGTTTTCAGGCATTCAACCTAAGTTGCTGCTTACTGCTCTGGTTAGAGATGGAAGAAGCAGAACAGTCTAGTAAAACTGCACAACAAAGCTACAGTTGACATTTTGTTCTTAAAATATTAGATAACTGTTATTAAAATGACTCTAAGTTTCAATAAAACACTTTTTTTTCTGTTCAGTGCCAATTTAAAAGGTGCTGCAAATGATTTGCGTGTATTCATTTGCTGCACCTTGCCATTGGCTTCCCAAACAATGAGGCAGTTTGTATAAATATGTATTTATATATGTACATGTATATATTTAGACAAAATTTAGTCTGTCTTTTGAGTATTAGTTTGAAAATATGGATGTTATGCTTTTTCCTTTTCCTGCTGGTGCAGTGTGAATCTTTGTAATTGACTCCACACTTGGTCCGCCGTCTGGCAGAAATAGGATTGAGTCTAAGCCGTGCGCACATTGCTGCCTTGTTGATTAGAATGGGTGTGTTTTCACTGCGGACGCAGTGTAAATTGGGTGTAAGGCTTTTTGTTGGCACCTGTACGACAACACTGTACAAACAAATAACACAGCTCAAGTTAGTCCACCTTATGGAGCATCGCTTTGTCTCAGTCCATCCATTCAGCCTCCGCCACAGACTGGATTACTGCCTGAACTGAAACCCCGACTCGTCTCTCCCTTCCCCCTTTTTTCATTTTTCTTTTGTTGACATTTATTGAAGCCTTTCAGAGAAATTCCCCTCTAGCCATCCATTTCCTAAAGTGGAGCTACAGAGGGGGAAAAAAAGCTTGTGGCATGTGTGTGTATGTGATTTATAAATGATCCCAAGCATACGTTCAGTTTTTCCTTTCTTCTGCTGTTTTCAGTCTCTTCTACTGATTCTCTAGATCTGTTAGTTTCTTTCAAATTCTTTACTTTTCGTTTTTGACTCCCTCACCATCTTTTTTTCCCTGCACTCTTCATCAGTCTTTTTCCTTTCCAGGCCAGCTGTATGTTCTTTTGAACCAGTACTTTGACGATGTGTGCAAGAACTGCCGTACGAGTCATCCTCACGTCAGCCTGTACGATTTCATCTACAACAAAGTCTCTTCATTGTAACATTGTGAATTCCAGGATGTCGCCTGTGATGGCAGACCGTCACTAACAGAACGACAACACAAACTTTGTTCCACTTTCTGCCTCGATATGAGTGATCCCAGGTTTACCAACTTTATTGTGCTTAAACCTACTTCTCACACACACTCCCTTTAAGTTTGTAATCCTAACACACAAACTACCAAAGCAGGGTTTTGCCTTTAAAGCTGACTGTATTACAGGAGCCTCGTGGTCTGAAATATTTCAAAAACTTAAAGCAATATTAAACCGTTGTTGCTGTTCGAGGCCTTCCTGAGTTTAAACGTGACTTTGAATTCTCATTTTTTTTGTAAACACTAATTACAAATATGGCCAAATATTCATCATATGCATGGTTGTGGAAATGTTTCACCTCTGTATTCTTTAAGACATGATAGTCCTCCTTGATTGTTTTAATTTTTTCCCTCTTTTTCTTTTGGATGAGCTTTTTTCTGTTTGACATGCCTAAACTGTAGTGAGCACCCTCAGTGTCAAAAGACAGTGAGACCTACTGTACTGTAGTCTATGCATGGGTAACATTTATTTATCAGATATTCTCCAGATATTTGCTCCTCTTTTCATCCTCTGTGATAATCAAGTTTAACATACGTGTCTTTATATTTGTTTAGAATCCTCTCAAAGGAAACATACAGGAAATCTGTGGTTGGTCATTGTTGACCTTAATTTATATTCTGAACAACTTTATAGTTCTTAAATATAATTAGTGCTAAGCACAGTATTAGTACTGTACATACTTCTGTATGTGGAAATGGATAAAAAAAAAGAAAATGCACGAAAATCTGTATTTTTGTTATGATTTTTACCCAACATTTGATTTTGATGTTGGTTTGTTGTATTATTTGCAGTATTTTCTTACTCAGTTTTTGATTTATTGAATGATTGGCTTTAGATTAGATTTACAGCTGTAAATGGATGTATTGCATAATTGTATTTTAGGTTTTTAGGTTGTAATATTTTTATTATAATTTCTTAATTAAAGCATATCCTGAACAAAAGTGTTGTTTTGTTCTTTACTCGGATCAGTATTTTTTTTTATTAAAAACAAAACAAAAAAAAAAACATTACAATTCCGGCACAATAGTTTTCTCCAGGGATTTTTATTTAAATAAATTTTGTCATTTGTCATTGCATTAACAAGTGTTTCAACATAAATTAAAAATATTCATAGGATGTTTTTTTCTGCATTTTGTTCCTGAAGTTTATCTTAGCACACTCTCATTTTGTGAAACCATAAATTATTTAATAATTTAAGACATGATTGATTTTTGCAGTACACGTACCTCCAGAGAAATTTCATTCGGCCTTCAGACATGCTTTATTAGATGAATTAGGGGGCTTCTAAATAACCTCATGACGTGGATGTCCTTAGATGGTGTGTTAGGCTTTGCTGTGGTAAGTGGATTACACATTATCTGCCTCTGACTCTTTGTACTGAGCCCTGCATTGACCAAATGAGCGGTGGCCTCCTGTACAAAGTCAATTTAGTTTGTCAGACCTGAGAGTTGAGGCCTGCTGCAGCCCTTATTTATGTGGGCCTGGTCTTTATTTGGATGAGCCAGCTGGATTAAATATTTAGACACTTAATGTTGACTAAACATGGCAGCCAAATTTCAAATGAACCATATGCATCAGAATCAAACGAGAACGTGCATTTACTGTGACGAATGCTGAGAGCTGAATGTTAAAGCTAAAGAAAGGCTAAAACTAGCACAAGACAAAACTAGACCAAGTAGGCTGAAGCCAGAGAGGAATTTTTGGAAGGAACTGAGGAGATTCCAATGTTTTTCTGTATAAATTATTTGTAAAGTTAAATATTCTAATAAAAAAGTGTAAAAATTAGAAAAACAAAAATCCTAGCACCGCTGAAGGTTTTGACATCTGAACAGCTAAAATAGATTGCAAAACAAACAATAAAAATACATGGATAAACAAACATGAAAGCTGTAGTGTAAATGCTGAATCCACTTTCACACAAGTCTACAAAAACCTTTTTTATACAAAGCCTATTCATATGTCCATTTTATATCACCATAAACAGTTTTAACAGCTTGGGAAGTTTGTGCCTGTGTAGTGATTATTCTAAGAAGGACGTTATTTAACGTTAGTCCTATAATGTTGCCCCGCGGCACCCTTCTTTTTGTGGTTGAACATTATTAATAAAATGCCAGAAAGCAGCCGGTCTTTACTTCATCTCTGTCAGGCGGCAAAGTCACGACAACAAAGTGGCATTTCAGTTCATAATTGCCTGACCTCGCATTCTCCAGGTCAGCTGAATAGGAAAGACGAATACAAGACTTTAGAAAACAAAAGTGCCAATACTGTTGATGTGGGTTAAATGTTTGGTTATGTTTTTATAAAAAACATAAAAAGTGACACTGCTCTAGTTTGATTAAAAATGTTCTAATTACTAATGCTGATATTTGTTTCTTGTGCTTTATTTTCCTTTTCAGAGATGTTTATCAAGATTAATAGTAATGTTGTGTGTGAGCCAGCAAATATGAATGATGAAAATCCAAATGAGGAGGGGAGTAGAGTTGGAGTGAAAGAAAAAGAAAAGAAGAAGCTGCTGGAGGGAAGGAGGGAGGGCCAATTATCTTATTGTTAAAGCCACTCTAGGTAGTGGCACATCAATCTGAAAACACTTGCTCGTATGACTCATGTTCAGTCTCTATAAAAGTTTAATTGGATTGTATAATTAATATCGAAGGAAACGGCATGATGTATCTTAGATGAAAGACCGACCCGTCGGCTTGAGGAGTAGCTCAGCTGTATGAACCAAATTATGTATTCCTAATGTTATGGCCTTGAAAACAGCGACGGCAAAGAGCTGCCACATACTTGTCTGTACCTGTTCAGCACTGAAGCCAAACATGGGCACAGTCTGGGATTTTACAGTTAAATAAAGCACAGGTGATGTGGTCCAATGCTCATTTTCCATGGTAACACGCTTTAATACCGTCAGTGTCAAAGGAAGATTATGAGGATTTATGTTGAGGGTTTAGAGGTCCAGTGGGAAAGCAAATGACATTGGAGTTTTTGTTTATTTTAATTCAAATTTATTTAAATCCGGGACACAGATACCATTTTCCAGAACAGTTTGTTTCAAACAAATATTAATCAGTGTGCATTGCATTGGCAATGCACACTATTGTGATTTGTTTCCCATCCAAGTCATCTCTTTGTCACGCTTCTCCTCCTGCATACTTTGTCCTAGAGCTGCCATTGTAATTTATATCTGTAAAGCTCCTGTGCCAAATGATGGTTATGCCTTTTGGTGCCTGTACAACGTATAGTTTTTGAAATATTAATGTTTAATAATAATTTATAATGGGTGTCAATGGAACCTTGTATTGGTCCAATACTGTCCCCTGCTGTATCTACTCAGTACNTGGAACCTTGTATTGGTCCAATACTGTCCCCTGCTGTATCTACTCAGTACTGAATCATAGTTTAATAATATTTAATCACAATAGTTCAGTGGTTACAATACTAATATGACTCTATTTTGATGTTTTACTTTTATATTGTCCTAATATTGCTCTATTGCTGTGACATATTAAAGTTTAGTGTCAACAGTTGCATTGGCAATGTGGCCTCTTTCAGCACACATACAACCAACTCCTGGCAATCTTCTCTGCTACAACTCCAATGGCTAATAGTTAATACCATGGGCTTTCATGTGGGAGATCAGGGTTCAAAACCCAACTACAGCAACTTTAACTAAAGTTCTCTTTAAACTTCATATTGTCACACAATTACCATCGTCACAAACACCTGCTGACTTGACAAGCACAAGTTGGTAGAAAACACATTTGAACTTGGTCACATTTCATTCTGCAAGTCCACTGCTGCAGGCAATGACATGCTACATGATAATGCACACTTGTTTTTACATCGTAAAAACCCATGTCTAGTTTATTTTTGTATTTTTCTAGGTATAAAATATATGAAAAAATGTTTCTAGACTTAAGGCATTTTTAAAGATAAAAATTAGATTTTCAGTAAAAAAAAGGCTGAAACAGTACTTTTCAGATTTAGTAATCAGCCCTGATTTTTTTCTATGCAGATTATTCCACAAGTTACACTCCACTACGCTGTTTGTAATTTACCCTATATCACAACATAGTTTCACAAAATTAACCTTGTGTTCTGTCTAAAAAAAACAAAACACTTAAATATCAGGGTTCAGGCTCAGGAACTCAAATGCAAATCCAGATACAGAAAATATGAAGCAACAACAAAATAAAATATATAGTTCTGGACTTGCAACGGGCAAGGAACTCACAAGGAAGGACTCATCGAGGAAGACTGGAAAACCCAGACAAAGTCAATACACCACAAAGAATGAAGAACAGAAGGAACAAGAAAACCAACAGGTAAGTGAAAAATTAAACACAAAGACTCAATGTGACATTAAAGACCAAAAATAAAAATACAAAACAGGTGACTAGTTTTTTTGTTGTTGTTTTTTGGCTTCCTGTTGTACAAACATAGTAAATATTTTTACTTGAGTGTCAAAAGAGGATATAAACTGATCAAGAAATCTTGACATTTGAGTTTATTAAAAGTCTGGTATTCTGCAAAGGGAAAGGTGTTGAAATAACCTAACATTATTATTAATATTGACAGTTTTAAATATGAAAACTTAAACACAAAAGAAGATTCTTCCTAGAAACAGTCTGCCACTAGGAATTGGCACGGCCAGGGACCCACCCTTACCCGCTGCCCAACAATGCACCCGACCTAGGTGATCCTCTCCACTGGTGGTGGGTCCACGTTGAGGTGGCTTCCTGTTATTTTTTCAGGCTTGGCCCGGCCTCCCCCCAAAAGTCAAGTCTCAACCAACATGCACTCGCTGGCAAGCCCTCCTCCCAAGCCTGGCTCCAGAAAGGTTCCTCGGTTTCCCTTTTTGGGGCGAGGCAAGGTTTTCTGATTTGAATGTCGTTTCATTCATCAAGAGTTGTGAGTCACTTTTAGTCTGAGCCCTCCCCCAAAGCCTGTTTGCCATGGGAGACCCTACCAGGGGCTAATGCCCCAGATAACACAGCCCCCAGGATCACAGGGTTGCACAAACCCCTCCACCACATTGAGGTGGAGATTCTGTGGAGAGTAGGGGTTTAGGTACCTGGGTGTCTCGTTCATGAAATATGGTAGGATGGTCAGTTGTGGTGAAGAAAGAGCTGAGTCGAAAGGCAAAGCTTGATGGTTTGTCTGTGTTCCAGCCGTCACTTATGGTCATGAAGCGTGGAATGGGACCGAAAAATGAGATCCTGGATACAAGTGGCCGAAATGAGCTTCCTTCGTAGGATGGCTGAACTCAGCCTTAGAGATTGGTTGAGGAGCCCTGTCATCTAGGGGGCAGCTTGGAGTAGAGCTGCTGCTCCTCTGCATTGAAAGGAATAAGATGAGGTGGTTCGGGCATCTGATTAGGATGCTTCCTGGACGCCTCCCTTTAGGGGTGTTCTGAACATGTCCCACTGGTAGAAGGCCACTGGGAAGACCCAGGACTTGCTGGAGGAATTATGCATCCTCTCTGGTCTGGGAACATCTCAGGGTCCCTCAAGACAACCTGGAAAGTGTCGCTGGGGAGAGGGATGTCTGTGTTCTCTCCTAGACCCTGTTGCCTCTATGACCTGACTGCAGGTAAGCAGCAGAAGATGGAGATGTAGGAAGATTGTCCAAATCATGTTTGATACCTGATTGAAGGTTTAGTCTCCTTTAATTCCTCACTTTGTTAAAATTCGCAGACTTTTAAAATAAGTTTACTCACATGTCCTGATGCATCTCAGTAATCCAGGTAAAAAATCAAAAAGAAAAAAATTGTGTATGTCTTCTGGACGGGTTCTTCTCTAATGAAACGTTTCGTCTCTCRTCCAAGAGACTTCTTCAGTCTGAGAGTTTCAGGCAAAATTCAGGCTTTTAAGCCCTGCCTCCAGGTGACCGATACTCACATCACATGGCTATCGTTGACACCTAATTAACACTTATTGTTAAC